AATACATCACTAGCTTCAAATTCCTCTGGTATTACTCTGTGCTTAAGTTGAAGGTCAGGTTGCTATGAATTTTTTTTCTTAATGTTTCTGCTCTACTCTTAGTTTTTTCCTTCTCTATTCACATTCTTACACCCTCTAGCAGTAGACTATTACCTGTTACTTTGTGCTTCCTAGCTTGCTGCAAGGTGCAGGGTTCTCAGTGTCCTGGTACAGCCTCAGCTTTAGGTATGCCCTGTGTCTTTGTATCTTGGCAACTGGGCTTTCTCAGAAATCCTCCCCCAAACTCATCCCCACAATAGGCTGTCTTTTCTTCTTGTTCCTCCCCAGGAGGTTTTCCAATTTCCTCTATCCTAGCCATAATGGATCTTCATCTGTGCCCTGAGGACAAGGTTTCCTACAATTCCCCTAAGACTTATACATTTTTTCTATGAGTAAGAAGAGTTTAGATAGGGCTTTCTGCTTTTCTCGAAGTGGCAGTGGCTCCCCTTTCTGCCTGTTCCACTATGGAAGGCTGTCCCTAGTTACCTGCCCTCCACTTAGTTCTTAGGAACCAAATGTGGTACATGAGCAAACTATCCTTCTGTTAGCAGCTTTCAGGGATTCTAGATTCTCCTGCTAGCTCTAAATTAACTTTTAGCAATTTGTAACAATTTTTCACTAAATTTTTCTCACCTGCTTATAGATAGGTTGCCATCTCTTCCTTCTGTGATCTGCCAGAAGGGAGGCAGTGCTTGCATCCTACTTGTCCTTGGAGAGACATGTTGTTCTGTACATTTCAGGCTGTTTGGTTATACTGCAACTTCAGCTCTCTGGTGGATTAAAGAAAAGTTATAATTCTGTAGATCATACAGTTTTTTCTTATTCTAAGTATGTATAGGATGCCCTTTCCAGGCTTTGGCATCCTAAGCAAAACTGAGATCTCTCTAGTAGCTTGTTGTTGGTTTGGGACTATCCAAATTAGTCCTTAAAGTTACATGATACTGCAAAGAATCACGAATTGCCAAATGTTCCTGACGAACAAAAAGGTAATGATAGACAAGACAGTAAATTGCTGGTGCAAACATACTAATGCAACAGAATAGAGAGCTCAGAAACAGACTCACAGTAACACAGGCATTTAGTTTACAACAAAGGTGGTTCCCTCAGAACAGTGGTACTTATTAAAAAAATAGAATTCTCTATAGCAAAGAACACAAACCAACCATGGCTTTAGGCAACAACAGGCATGGATCTTACAAACACGTAGAGAGCAAAAGTAGTCAAGGCAGAGTAAAACAAAAGTAGTTAATATAGAGCAAAAGATCCATATTGTATGATTACGTTTAAGATAATCTTCTAAAAAAAAAAAAGCAAAAACTATGTTTAAGGACATTAGCCTATGTACTAAAACATCAGTATCTGGTTAACTTTGTAAGGGAAGAAGAAGGTAGCGACTGGGAAGGGAAATACCAGAAATCCTGGGATACTCACAGTGTTCTACTTCTTAACTTGGTTGGTAATTGAACAGATGATCACTTTGCAATAATTAACTCAGCTGTATATTTACTTCTGTGCTTTACTAAATATGTATTATATTTCACAATAACCTTCCCCATCTTCCCCAGGAAAAGCTTTTGGCTATTAGTGAACTTATTTTTTTACTGGATATGGTTCAAATGGAGTGGTGAAACTCTCCAAACTTTAATACACTCTTCAGTTCTAATTGTCGTGGATTCTATATAGGTATTTTATGTCTTCTAAAAGTGGTTAGGGGTGGGAAGACACTTTGCCTGTTTGGAACTGAGAGACACAGGATTCAGATAAAAGCAAAAACATCAGCTTTATCACTGACAAAAGCTAGATTAGAGGATACTGGACTACAATGAGCTACTACAGATCCTAACCCTAAATTAGTAGGATTTGCCCACTGAAGTTCCATGCAGAGAGGAACAACTGGAAGTTTCTCTGTGTCTGCTTCAGAAAGCTCAGGATTTGTCTGAAATCATAGAAATGCAGACAGAAAGAAAGTTTCCCATAAAATGAGTCACTCCTTTTTCCTGGAATGAAGTAAGGAAGCTTACCTTTCCCTCCTAAGGCAAAAACCTCTTTAAAAAAGAAAAAAAAAAAAAAAAGGAAATTTTCTACATTCTATGGAAATGTGGAGAGAATGAGGGATAAGTAATAACCCTTAACAGGCAGACTAGCCTGGGAGTGTATTTTTGCTTTTGCTTTTAAATTACATTACAGTGTGTGTGAACTTGCTAGAGAGAAAAGGCAAAAGTGTGGAAAGTACCTCCCAGGAGAGATGGCCACAACACAATTCCTTCTTCATGCTCCTTTTGGGATTTGGGGCATGTACACACACGAGTCAGGTGTGTTTTTCAAGCTGCCAGGTCCAGAACTTGAACTGTCAGACATGTGGAATGCAGTCACCTTAACCATCATGCCACCAGCTGGCTTGGGAGTGTATCTTTGAAGTCAGCCTTTAGAAGCTTAACAAAGTCTGTCACAGGCAAAATTTTAGTATAAATTTAGTTTTCACTTTTATAGTTACTCTTTTTCTACCTCTGAACCTGCAATATATACTCTAACCACCATTTTTTTCAGTAGCATTTCTGAAGCATCTATAGAGGGGGTAGAGATTTATTAGGTTGGTGGAAAAGTTACGACGTGCTTTTCTATGCGAAAATGTGTCATGACTTTTCTGATAACTCAATATATATGTGGATCTTCTCTAAGTTATGTTATGTATGAGTAAAGACAAACTTTTCCAATTCTCCATAAAACAAGATAGTTTCAATAATGACACAAACGTTAAGCACCTCCTGGAACTTATTTAAATCATTCTTTTTCCAGGTAAGGTTTGGTTTAAGTAGAGTCAGTCCTTCTGCATCCACAGAGTCAGCTGACTGTAGATCAAAAAAAATGGAAAAAAATAAAAACAGCAATAAAAAATACAAACAAAAATATGTTCCAGCAACTATTTATGTAACATTTAAATGACATTAGATATTATAAATAATCTAGAAATGATTTAAAATATACAGGAGAATGTGTGTAGCTTATATATAAATACTATGCCATTTTATATAAGGGACTTGAGCACCTGTACATTTTGGAATCAACTGGGTGCCTGGAACCACTGCCCTTCAAATTTGAGGAATGTCTGTACCTGCTTTTTGGTATTTAGAAGTGCTCAATGATCATCTACAGGAGGTCAAAAAGTCTCTAGAAAATGTGTATTATAAAAAAGCTATGTATGGCTTTCAAAATTTTGGGGGGACCAAAATAAACTTGTACTTTACTTCCATTTTCCATGAACTCTCTGAAATACCCTTGCATAAAAAGACAATAAAAACACAAATATCTGTAACTTCAAGTCCTTACTTTCTTCCTGGGGTAAATGAATAATGACTATAGTGTGCCCACAAGACTTTTATGATGTGATACAAATTAGTACAAATAATTTGGTCTAGGAAACCTCAGTTCAGGTACAGCAGCATATTTTTTAAGTAAAATTTTTCGTCTTGAGATAACTTTATATGCAGTTTTAAGAAATAGTACAGAGATTCCATGTGCCTTTTACCCAACATCCTTCAACAGTAACGTCTCATAAAACCACAGTACAATATCACAACTGAGATATTGACATAAATAAAGTCATAATATAGTACATTTCCAACATCACAAGAATCGTTCATCTTGCTTATCTATAGTCATCCCTTTCCCATTCCACCTTTTTGATCTCCACAACCAGCTACCACTAATCTGTTCTCTATTTCTATAATCTTGTCACTGCAAGAATATTATGCAAGTACCTTCTGGGATTTTTTTTTTCACTCAACATAATTTTTTAGTATTTATCCAGGTGTTGCACATATCTATACCTTATTCTTTTTTATTGCTGAGTAGTATTTCATGGTATGGATACACTAGAGTTTATGTAGTTATTCACCACTGAAGAAAATCTGGGTGGTTTCTGGCTATTACACATAAAGCTGTTATTCACATCCATGCACAGGTTTTTGCATGAACATGTTATAATGATGTGCAACTCTTTGCCTAACATTTTCTTCTTCTTTTTTTTTTTTCTTCAAAATGCCAGAAGGTACATGCACTCATGAGAGAGAGAGAAACAAAGAGAAAGAGAGAGAGAGAGACAAAGCACACCTTAATGGGGCATGGTCACACTGCAATCCTTTATCTTCCAACTAGCCTTGTATATGTGCTTAGAGTGGTTTTCAAGCTATCAGAGCTGAGATCCCAACAGTCAGCTGTGTGGGATCTGACCCCCTTAACTACCATGCGATGGGGCTGGCCCTTTTTGACTAATTCTGATTGATAAAGTCAAGAACATCAAGTTACTTGTCAAAGGTCACAGACTTCCTAATTCCTGAAGATTAACTAATGACTTACTCTTACCAATACTTGCAGTTTTACAATTTTTGCTACTTGGATCTTGCAAAAGCTTGACTCTCTGAGCCTCAACTAGATAAAATTTGTTTTTCAAAGAATATTTTTTAAAAAACATGAACTTCATGAAATGTCCCCAACGGGGGGTTAGATTTCATAGCCAATTTGAGAAAATGCTGAACACTATTTCCTCCTTTTGAAATTAACAATAGCATACTGGTATAGAAAAGGAGGAATTTAGTATTCAATTATGCAAGTTCAAGTCCTAGCTTCAGTAATAATAGTAACCTTCACAGCAAGACCCTTAACCTTTCTATATCTGTTTCTTCATATTTTTTAAAAGAATTATTTTATTTAGCTTTATTTATTTATTTATTTTAGTTTGACCAGAGACAGACAGAGTAAAAGAGAGAGAGAGAGAGAAAGTGAGAGAGCAAGCTGTTGGGTCCAGGACTTGAACCGCAGTCGGCCATGTGGTAGTCCAGTGCCCTTAACCACTACGCCATCTGGCAGTCCCTGTTTCTTCATCTTTAAAACAAAACTAAAAATGGTACATTATTCATACAGATTAAAGATTAACTGAAAGGATACATAGAAAGCACAATAAATGTGAGCTATTATTTTATTATTATTATTGTCATCCAAATCAGAATCATCATTAAAATTATCAAGGTCTTGCTAAAAATAAACATTTCCAGGCCCTACTGCTGCAGATGAAGATTCACTGAACCTAGGGTAGAGTCTGGTCAGATGAAGAAGCAGAGGTTCATATGTAAAGAATATGTCCAAGATAACATGAAAAATAGGGTTCAAACCCAAACCAAATTGGCTGGTGGAGAAGTCTCACTGTGATGTCCATACATACATTTAATAAATCATTCAAATGACTCTGACTCTATGTTCCTATAAAAAGAATGCACTTCTCTCTCAGATTGAGCTTGTATTATCATAAACTCATGATTCCCCAGGGTAGTTCAATAAAATAAAATGCTAACTGCAGTTCTGTGCAGTTGGTACAAATCAACATTCAAAAAAAAAAAATCCTAAAAATGGCAGCAAGCACTGATACATAAAACTTCTATCTATGAGTCTCTGCCTGGCAAAACAAACTGGAAAATAATACATTTTTTCTTTAGACATATAAGAAAGCAATTATGATTGCTATTATTTCTGTAGGTTCCAGCACCACACTGCTAAATTCCAAGGATCCTCTTATTGTCAAGTACCAAACAGATTTCCAGGACACTTGGGAATTACTCTGGAAGTGGTGGCAATCTTCTTACCACTTCCGCAGCAATCTTCAGGTAAGCTTTGGCCTAGAAAAGAACAGACTTGTTTTTTTCTGTATTTCTCCCCATCAGACATGGAATAATTCATGAACTGTTTGCTACAGCTGCCTACTCTATTTTACAGTAAAAAGAAAGAATAAATGAGTTTAAGAAATTCAGTATAAGGGACCAGCAGTCAGCATAATGGCTTTGTCGCTGGACTCCCACGTAGTCGATTGTGGTTCGAGTCTCGGACCCGGTGGCTTAAACTCACGCTGGGCATGTGTGCATGCGTGCCCAAGATCCCGAGAGGAGAAAAGGAGGAAAAGGGATTGCGGTGTGGCCATCTTCCCTGGGGAGTGATTTCTCGCTTTCTGACTGTCTCTCTCTGTCTTTCTTGCAAGTGCACGTGCCCTATTGCAAAAACCTCTCCAAAAAAAAAAAAGAAAAGAAATTCAGTATAAGATAGTACTGCATACATTGAAAGTGGGATCAAAGAGAAAGGATTTTTATTTGGAGGGTAATCAATTAGAAGGCGACATTCTGAAACAGCATTTAGTATCAGCAATTATTGTATTTAAACTCTAATCTTACAAGCTATCAACCCAGTAGAGTTGCAGAAAAATTACCCTTGCCTTTTATGACAAATTGATATCCTTAGTTAGTACTTCCAAAACTTCTTTAGCATTAAAATCTACTAGTCATTTTAAGGAGGAATAGTTATTATCATTCTATGGTTTATCTTTGGAAAGCTTTTTCTTCATTTTCTCTGAGAACAATGTGCAACACCAGCAGTGAACACCAATAGGCTCTTTCACCTGCTGAATTTTGGGCATCATGCAAAAATTCCTGGGTTCAGTTGTTACACTCTTTATCTTTGGAATCCCCAGTGCAGTGGAACACTAAGAGCAACTCCCAAGTCACAAACTAACCTAATGCCAGCATGTTCCAGATAGAACAATGGTTATAATATTTGCATTTTAAGAGCTCATTTAGGGGCCAGTCCTTTTGCCTATTGGTTAAGGGAGCCAGAACAACAGAGTTGACCATGGTTTGGGTCCTGGCCTTGAAGAATGTACTGGCACATGTGTATGCAATACCCTAAATCCCAACAGGATGAACACATGGAGGAGATGGGATTGTGGTAACCACACCCCTTTTGAGGATGTTTTCTCCTTCTGTTACTCTATCTTTGTCTCTCTCTGTCAAGAGCACACACTCAGCAGCAATTTAAGGGAAAAAAAAGAGTCTACTTAGGAGCCAGATTAAGATACAGTGGTAACACAATGCTCTGCAATGCTGAACATAGATGTGCTAAGTTTGTAGCATTAAGTCTTCTCTGTACCCTCCAACCATGTGTGCTTATGCACCAGGCTGGCTAAGGCTGCAGGTGGGATGCAGCGTGAAGATCTTGTTGGGATCTCTCTCTCTTTCTCTGACTCTCTCAGAACAAACAAACAAACTTCAAAAAAGAGTTTCATTTAAATAACTGCAATGGAAATATTATTTTTATATAGTATTCATTAAAAGTGTTAAACAATGATAGTAAAATTTTCTGAAACCACTAATTTATACAATTTCATTTTTTACAATTATATACATACTATTACTACTGCTATGAATGATATAGATAAAACTTATTGAGTACTTAATATTTGTCAAGTACTACTTCATTTATTCTCATAGTTATTCTAGGGAGTAAATTATCCTCACTTTAAAAGCAAAGAAACAAAGGCACAGAAAGGTGAGGATTCTTGTCCAAAGAATTACAGACATTACAGGAGTTGAACATATGCTGACCAATTCCAAGACTCTGCACAGTAAAAAAAGAGATATTTAAGGTCTGTTTGTCATGGTAAAGTCTTTAAGTGTGTTTTACCCATCTTTATGCTCGAAGACTATGCTTGAGCTGTAGCAACTAAATGGGATTTTTGCTTTTTGTTTGTTTGTCATAAGGTACATATGCTTGTTAGAGAGAGACAGAGGGAGACAGAAATAGGAAAAGTGAGAAATCATCCCCCAGAGTGATGGCCATGCTGCAATCCCTTCTCCTCCATTTTCTTCCTTGGATTTTGGGTACACATGTACATATAACTGGCATGATTTTCAAGCATTTCAAGTCTCGAGACCTGAACCACAGTTAACTATGTAGGAGTCCAGCACTGTAACCCTACACCACCTGCTGGCCCCACTAAATGGTGATTTATTTTATCGGAGAAGTATTAAAAAGCTCTTAAAACAGAAATAAGTCTTTAAATTTTCTTAATGAGTATTTACTATATCAAATACTTCACATAAGTAACCTCAATTATATAAAACAAGCATCATTGGCTCAACTTTTATTAATTTGCCTGAGGACACTTGTGCTTGCTGGAGACGGACTGAGAATGATAGAAAGTGACAAAGCACCACACACACACACACATGGGGTGTGGTCACACGGCAATCCCTTCTCCTCTACTATCTCCCTCTTTTCAGGATTTTGGGCATGCACACACACACAGCATGATTTTTCCATTCCACTGGATCTGGGACTTCAACAGCGCATTTGGCCATGTAGGATCTAGCTACCTTGACCACCAGGCTATGGGTGTTTTATCAGCTTTTGGATAAAGAAGCTGAGCATGAGCATTTTCTGTACACAGTCATGAATTCAGTAAACTGGAACTATTCAATCCTGAGTCCAACTGACTCTAAAACTCAGCTCTTTCCACTACATCACATATTAAACAGTAAACCTAAAACATAAGTAATTTTAATAAAAAAACTTAGCCTAAAGGTGGCTTCACTGTTTGCTATAGTTAACAGAAACAATAATTTTTGTTTAAAAATGAAATAACTGTACTTATAAAGAAATATTTCTCTTAAATCTAAAGTGATTTTCACCATGCATCTTCATAAATACCTTTTATCTCCTAGTAACTTTTCTAGGTATTTATGTCTAATATTCTGTGGTGAAAATTTAAAGTTCCCTAAAACAAGCTGAGACGAGGCCATCACTTTGTAGTCTTTTAGTACTTATATATGTTAAATTGGAAACATAAAGCTATCAGACTACCAAAAATAGTGAATGATTCCAGAGTGATCAAATTTGCTACATTTAACCTTTGCTTTTTAATGGGCTATCTCTAAGCACAGACATCCAATATATCACACTCAAAATAATGGTTAGATTGTCATTTGCTGAGAAACCACTAAAAGTGCTTAGTTTAACAGTTTCAATTTCTACAAAACTGTTGAGACTGAAATTTTTCAGCCAATGCATTATCATTTCAACAAATACACTTTGGTTCTTACTGCATGCAAAGCATTGTGTTGGGAAATCAGTGGAGAACTGCTCACTTAAGAGTTGGGACCTTGGGACCAGCAGTTAGCATAATGTTTGTGTCGCTGAACTCCCATGTAGTCAACCGCGGTTCTAGTACCAGACCCAGGTGCATGTGCGTGCGTGCCCAAGATCCCGAGAGGAGAATGGAGGAGAAGGGATTGTGGCGTGACCATCCATCCCCCCTGGGGGGTGACTTCTCACTTTCTGTCTCTCTGCATCTCTCTGTCTTTCTGGCGAGTGCACATGCCCTATAGCAAAAACCTCTCCAAAATAAATAAATAAATAAAGAGTTGGGACCTTGAAGCCAGACAGGAGTGGTTTAGAATCTTGGCTTCATTACTTATTAGCTGTGAGGCCTTGGGCAACTTAATCTTTCTAGATTGTTTTCATATTGTAAAACATTTAAAATCATAGTATCTACCTCAGTGGACCAGATAGTTGCACAGCAGTAAAATGCAATACTCTGCAAGACAATCCCAAACAGGAACATTTGTGGGTCAAGTCTGAAGACTTTCATGAGTATGCTGGGCATGTGTGTACCTATAATTCGGTGCTGGCTGAAGGCAGATCTCAGCACTGAGGCTCTGTTAGGGGTTCTGCCTCTCTCTCCCCCTCTCACTCATGGAAGAAATGAGTAACTAAACTTAAAAAAAAAATCTTAGTATCTACTGCAAAGATTTTGGGGAGTATTAGGTAAGAATAAGACATATGAAGTGCTGACACAGAGGAAACAAATATTGGTAGCTGCTACCACTACTACTACTATTATTATTATTACCTCTAGAAAGAAGTTTATAATCTTGGGCTAGCCCTTCAGTGTACCATATATAGGGAGTCAGATTCCAAACAGTCAAATGCAGTTCAAATCCTGGCCCTTGTAGCTTGAAAAAGATGCTCTGCGTGTATGTGTGTGTGTGTGTGTGTGTGTGTGTGTGTGTATGCATGCACATGCATGTGTGCACCCCAAATCCTGTTAGAATGGAGAAATGCAGGAGTAAAGACTGTGAACATGCCCTATCAGAGGTTGCTTTCTCTCTTCTTATAGTGAGTACATGCATCCTCTAAATAAAAATTTTTTTAAAAAAAGTGGTTTACAATCTCTCTGAAGAGCTTATATGAAAGCATATTTTCTTTGGGCACTTTATTCAGCCAAAGAATAATTAAATTGTATTCCTCCTTTTTGTTTAACCCATAACCAGCAAAAGATAATACAAATTTTATATGTAAAATATAAAAATGATAATTTCCCAACTCTTAATATTCTCTTCTTTCATTAACTAACCCTTCTCTCCTATTCAAAATATTTTTGTTACAATGGCCATCTAGAGACACAGACAACACAGCTGGACTCTCTTTTTCTGTTCAGTCATTAGCAGGCAACAGGGAATAAATGGTAACTAAAGCTCTCTAAACGAGAGCTTTTTTCCTTTGTCTTTATTTTTAAATACTTGAAGTTCTAACTTATCATATCCAATCATTTCATACAAAGACTGAAGTAATAATTAGAAATTATAAGGTAAAGTTTTTATTATATTTTGAAAATCCTTATCACAAATAGAGCACTCTATACTATTTTTACTTGGTAACAACGGATAAAAACCACAAAGTTATCAATCATGGGCCTATTCCTTGTGCTCTGGCTTCAATCAAAGGTAAAAGCCAGTTTTAATAAAAGCAGTAATTATAATTACACCAGCATAAAATTATGCTTCTAAACTTA